CAAAATTCAATTCTGAATGTTTGGGAATATTGATAAATAGAAGACTAGCCCTGCCAGAAACAAAAAAGTTTTAAACAAAGATCTTTGAGATAAACTAGAAATAGAGTCATGAGTATAACAGAAGCAGTATGTGATTTATTAATATTATTATTTGTATTGTGGTAGCATCTAAGAGCCCTAGTCATGGACCCAGACCCCACTGTGCTAAGCGCTGGACAAACACAGAACAATATGGCATTGGATAGTTTTGATAAAAAAGAAGAACTGTCTTGCATGATGAAATAGGAAACAGATGAAAAGGGGAAAAATAATGGAGAGGAATGGAAACAGATAGGGGTCCAATCCAAACCTCACTGAAATAAGTGACAAGACCCATTGACTGCAGTGGGTTTTGAACAAGGCCCTATATGCAGCCACAACATACAATTATGACCAATTATTATATTAGTGGTGCCCTACACAGGTCAGATTAAAGAGATCTATAGCAAATGAAGTGATGGCTGTGAGCCTTGTGCAACTCGTGCTCGAAAAGCCATGCAGACATCATGGTGCCGAGTGAAGCGTGTCATCCAAGACAGACAGGTAACAATAATGAATTTCCACATCAGTTACAGACTTCACCAATCGTAATTTGCGAGTGGTAGGTCCAAGGGATGGTGATTGTAAGCTCTTTGGTTCTTTTCATTAAATGGGTGCACAGTGTTTAATTCAATGGGCCCCCACCCTGACTGGGGTCTTTAGGTGTACTGCAACATAAATAATACATGTAAAAATAACAGTGATGGCTTTGAGAACAGGGGTTGGTAGAGCATTCCGTGTGCAAAAGCTTAACATTTCATTTTCAAGAAGCCAAGATTTACTCGCCGTGGTATTGGAGACAGTCCAATGTTACAGAAATTTGGGCTATATTTGACCAATCTCGTTCTGCTATATATGCTTGCAAAATCTGTGAAAATCTCTAAAATCTAAGGCTTAATTAAAGAAATGCTACAATCTTGTTTTTTTTCGTTTCTTAAGCAAGTTAGAATCAGATCAATGCTAATATCCCAACAGTAATGACCAACGCTAGGAAAACAAATCCGTGGATGAGATAGAAGACAAAAAGTTTTCTGTAAGGAAACACATTTCATTTCTAAGCTAGAAAGGGATTTGAATAAACAAGGAGTCAAGAACAATTTTTTTAAAATGATGGATACCTTAAGATGGAACACACATTTTTCTCCAAAATGGAGCTCACCAGTAATTTATAGAGATATTACAGTGCCTTTGCAGAATCCATACATGAAGCAGAATCTCTACTGCTTGCTCATTACCGAACAATAAAAAACCAAACTGATGGATTATAAAGCTTGCCCACATTTTGCATGTTTTCATCAATTATTTCTTAGCTAAGATGAAGAACAGGAGTACTTGTGGCACCTTAGAGACTAACAAATTTATTAGAGCATAAGCTTTCGTGGACTACAGCCCACTTCTTATATGCATCCGAAGAAGTGGGCTGTAGTCCACGAAAGCTTATGCTCTAATAAATTTGTTAGTCTCTAAGGTGCCACAAGTACTCCTGTTCTTCTTTTTGCGGATACAGACTAACACGGCTGCTACTCTGAAACTTAGCTAAGATGGTTAGATATCGTTTCCCCTTAGATGAGTTGCTTCTAATACATCTAAGTGTGAGAGGTGCCTTGCGAAACAGACAAATTCCCTAGCTGCAAAAGGTTATGGGAAGAGAGTTGCACAGGGCGGATAAACAGACGAAGTACCAAAAGACAGAGAATGTGCAGTAAATTTGTGAGTTAATATAAAGCAGATCTTGTTAGTGCACAGAGTGTGCTGGTTGCGTCAAAGGGGTTGAAGCTAATATTTCCCATCAGTGGCATTTTAATGAATAAGTTGAGTTAACAGGTAACTGTCATTGTCCCAGTTTTCTAAATCAAGAAATATAGGTAGAAAAGTTTAGTAACATGCCCATTTCCACCACAGCGGGAACCATTGGCAGAGCCAAGATTAGTTCTTGGTTCTGAGTCCTCCTCTCAGATCACTCACTTAACTCGTTAGGAAAGAGTGGGAAAATGAGGAGTTAAGATGATCAAGTAGCTATGGGAAAAGGCAGTGAGGGTTAAAGACATGATAGTGTCTGGATCACTGCAGCGAGGATAACATTGAGTTTTTAATGGTGTGCACGGTATTCAACTAAAGAGTAGCTCTATTGCTTTAAGAACAGGAGTACTTGTGGCACCTTAGAGACTAACAAATTTATTAGAGCATAAGCTTTCGTGGACTACAGCCCACTTCTTCGGATGCATATAGAGTGAAACATATATTGAGGAGATATATATACACACATACAGAGAGCATGAACAGATGGGAGTTGTCTTACCAACTCTGTGAGGCCAATTAAGTAAGAGGAAAAAAAAAACTTTTGAAGTGATAATCAAGATAGCCCAGTACAGACAGTTTGATAAGAAGTGTGAGAATACTTACAAGGAGAGATAGATTCAATGTTTGTAATGGCTCAGCCATTCCCAGTCCTTATTCAATCCTGAGTTGACTGTATCTAGTTTGCATATCAATTCCAGCTCAGCAGTCTCTCGTTGGAGTCTGTTTTTGAAGTTTTTCTGTTGTAAGATAGCCACCCACAGGTCTGTCATTGAATGGCCAGACAGATTAAAGTGTTCTCCCACTGGTTTTTGAGTATTATGATTCCTGATGTCAGATTTGTGTCCATTAATTCTTTTGCGGAGAGACTGTCCGGTTTGGCCAATGTACATGGCAGAGGGGCATTGCTGGCACAAGATGGCATATATCACATTGGTAGATGTGCAGGTGAACGAGCCCCTGATGGTAAGTCTATTGCTTTAGACTTTTTAAGATAGACTTCACAAAACACTAGAAAATGGGTACAATCCTACACTTGGGAGATTGACTGGATATGACCTCAAAGTACTTTTCCATCCCTAAGTTCTCATTCTGTGATTCACTATAAGTCACATACATGAGCCTCTAACTGTTGAAAAAATTACTGTTCTTTTCCATTTCTGGTTCCAGTTACCATTCTCATTGCCACACTGTAATTTCATGCAGAACCTATTTACTGAAATGCTGCTAAGAAGGAAACAGTCAATTCTAAAGTCTTAGAGCCTAATTCTGTTCTCAGTTACACCAAAGTAAATACAGTGTAACCTCACTGACTTTCCTGGTGCTACTCTAGATTCACATTGGTGTAACTGAGAGTAGAATTTGGCCCTTAATTCTGAAACCAGGACAATGAGTTCCAGGGCTGGTGACATAAGTCCACTGGAATCCGATTTTTGTTACATTCCCTCCGGCATGTATTGCAGTGTACTCTAAGAACTCAAATGTACAGCAGTGACAGATGTTCTGAATAAAACGTAATAAAGTTTGCATCAGATGCTTGAACTAGTGTAGACGAAAAAAAATGAAATTATGTCTACTGGGGTTTCTGCAACTGAGTAAGAATAATTGACTTGGAAAATATATTGCTGATCATGCTTCTAATTCCCAAGCAACTGCATATTAATAGAAGGCGCCACATTCCGTAAGTGTAGTATCTGGAGAATAAGTTGAAGGTGTTTGGTTTTCAGATGTTTTGGGATTTGGTAACATAGAATTTTTGGGGGGAGTGGAGAAGTAGGTGAGTTATAATCTATACTAACCTCACTTAATGTTGTGCTACAAAACATATAACATATCTTTCACTCTGGAGCATGGAAAACATCTGTAAGAGGTGCTAATCTTTTTGAGGTTCAAGCCAAGGAAGTGATACATTCCTTATAATAATACTAAGGAAGGACTAGAAGCATGAACCAGATGCAGCAAATGTTTTCCTTGCTTTGTTTTGATGAGTATTCATCAAATTTGGACATTAATATCATGTTGGGATATTTTCTTGACTATATTGTTTTAGTCCTGAATACTGTAGTACTCTTTTTCCATTACAACTATGAAACACTAGAATTTATCAGTGTTAAGAAAATCCCACTAACTTCAGCCATATGGGAAATATTTGAAGTCAGGATTTGTTTTCAGATACATTTATTTGCATTCGATCAGTTAAAACAAATTATTAGCTTATTGCTTGATGGGTGTCTTTTCACAGATTCCTAAATTGAAAAGGCCAGAGGGAACATTGTGATCATCAAGTCTGATCCCCTGTATAACACAGGCCAGAGAATTTCAAACACTGTTCCAGAGTCAAGCCCAATAACTTCTGGCTGTGAGAGAACATATCTTTTAAAAAGACACACAGTCACGATTTAATGACTTCAAGTGATGGATAATCCACTACACCTGTACATAAATTGTTCCAACAGTTAATTACTCTTACTGTCTTTTTGAAATTTCCATCTAATTTTGCATTTTCATTCTAAATGTAACTAAAATATTATTTTCAAAATTAAATGTTGAAACATGTCCCTTTATGTTGCCGGGTATTATCATTGTCTTTTATTAGTCTAGCAAAATGAAGACTGAGAGGGGATTTGATTCCTCTCTACAAATACATTAGGGAGGTAAACACAAGGGAGGGAAAGAGCTATTTAAGATCAACAACAGAGTTGGCACAAGAACAAAGCAGCATAGACTGGTCATGAATATATTTGGGCTGAAGGTTAGAAGAAGGTTTCTAACCATTAATGGAGTTGGGTTCTGCGACAGCCTCCCAGCAGGAGAAGTGGGGACAAACAACCTAAGCTTGATAAGTTCATATATGTGATTATATGATGGGGCTGCTTGTAATAGCAAGGAACTGGACTCAGTGAACCAGGAGGTCCCTTCCAGTCCTATGTCCCTGTTATTATTAGTGGTAGTAGCAGAATTGTATGGTGGCATCACCTAGCGGATTCATCCAGGACGGCTCCCAAATGTGCAATCACACAGTAAGTGAAATATAATGTTTGCCTGCAAGTGTTCAGTCCACATCAAGTTTCAGATTTGTAAATTGCTTCCTTTTTTAACTAAACTCAAAAGCAAATGGTACATACCTGGCAAACATCATAGTGCTCAAAAAGAGACAGCAAGCCGATATCACTGCGGTTAGTGATTCCTTTCAAAACTGTGATATTTCCATTTCCAGAGTCCAGCTCTATTACATCATTGAACACGTTGGACACAGCCTTACCAGTCAGCAGCAAGTTCACAAGTTCCTGTTTACAATATAAAAAAAAAGTCATCAACTATACATCTCGCCAGCGCACTAAGAATCAACACAACACATTATGGTAGGTCAGCATAGTTAAGGCTGCACTACAGCTTTTATTTAAGTGGGGAGTTAACCTTGTCTGGAATAAAGGCGTCAGCTAAGCAGTGGACTTTTCAAAGGATGTGCTTCAGGATTCCGACTCCAAAGTGCAATGAAGAAACATCAACTGGATTAAGGCCAGTGAGATTAGGGCAGGGAAGCCAGTTTACATCCAATACAACCTTACATCCAATACTATTCTCAACCTTTCTTGGTTGGCACCCCCTTATTTTAAGTCAATCATTTCACTAGCCCTGACATGTACTGTAAAAGTAAGAGTAAAAAATGTATCAGCATTAATGCTAAGCCTATGTAATCCATGTGCACATGTTTTTTGAGAGGCTGACATACTTGAGCTTGAAGGGTGAGCGGGTGCAGGGAGTGGAGGAGCGTGATTTTTTTTGCTTTAGATTGTAATAAAATTTTCACTGACTTATGACACCCCCACACCCAATTGACTTTCATTACCCAGCCCCTCGAGGGGCTGCAACCCACTGGTTGAGAAACATTGCAATACCAGAAGACATTATCAAGATATGGTCAACTAGGAGTTGAGTAAACAAGTATTTTATAGTATCTTCCTGATATTTCTGCATGTGTATGGGCATATTTTTTCTATCCGATCTGATTTGCCAAAAGGTTTACTAACGTTTGAGAACCTGGACTCACTCAGAGATGGATTTACCTTCATGGAGGCAGGGAGATGCAGTATCTATCTATATGGCTTTTATCACTGCTGCCTTTGAAAGCCAGTGTGAAACCCAGGCCTCTCACTGCAATGGTATTCCCATTGAAGATCATGTTGGAGAACACTGCAAGGAGGTGGATCCACTCTGGAAGGACAGCTTTAAAATACAGTAAGGGCCTCAGAAAACTGTGACTGTGGCAAGGACTTGAGCCATTAGGGGTTTGACCTGAGCTGTGCTTTGATGGTTTGGGCTTCTTGGAACCTGAATCCCAAAGCACATCTCAAAGGGCGAAATGCCATGTGTATCTAAACCAAAGAACATGTTCCTCCCATGCCCTGTGAATTGAAACAGCCAATTTTCATAAAGCCATTGGGTGGCTATCCCTGGAGAAAAGTTAATCAATTCACACTGAAATTCAAATTCAGTCAGGGTAGATGCCTAACATTTTTTTCATAAAGAAAGGCCAAGAAACGAGTGTTATGTGGATGTGTTCATTTTCTAATGAAAGAGATGAGAACAAATGTTGCCTGAACAAAACATCCTTCCATGCTTTAACAATGTATTAAATTCACCCAGTACAACTCCAAAACACCCTTCTCTGCCACTTACTTACAATAATCAGTGGTGGGCTTAGTCAGATGTCACCTGTGCCACCCATTACAGCCTACCCACTACATCTGCCAGTCTGCTCATTCTGTTCCCTCTAATATTACTGTTGGCCAGTCCATGGAGTCAGAGTGGGGGAGGGGTGTATAAAGCCTATGGAACTGAGTGGGACACCACACACATCTCACTTTGGATAAGACCTCCACAAAACACGCTGACACTAATGGCACATGGCAACATACAGAAGCAGATTATGCCACAGAAAGGTATTGGCTGAGCATTAACGCACAACATTGTGAGGGTCCACAGAGAAAAAACAAAATATGAAGAGAATTTTGAGGAAAACAGATTCAAGTTGCCATAGCGCGAAGGCAGAAAGAATTAAGCTGTTGCCAGTTTAGACTGGATTTATGATAGCAATAATAGATTTACATATTTATAGCCAGCTTTTATCCTGAAGGAGCCCAGGAACTTTATAGACTTGCACTGATGTACAAACTACATAAAGGGAGCTCTTAGTCCACCAGGGAAGTGCAGCCCCCTCTTACAAGAAGCACTGCAGATGTTTAACAGCACACAGCAACACTGCACAACAGGTTTGGGAAAGGAAGTGAATGATGCCTTTTTCCTGCAGGGCGAATTTAGGTACTGTAGACAGACTGTTTTGAGTTTAAGTTTGACCACGGCCATAAGATTACAACTACTTCTTTTATGAGGACATGCCAATTTAATTATTACAATTTTCAGGACCTTAATTTTATTTCTCATTGGAAGACAGGAACTCCACCAGCCCGGCAGCATTAGTTCGATACTAACTCGGAAGGAAGAACACTAACTTCTGAGCAACAAACACTGCTTCCTGCATCATTGATGCTTACATGGCAACTCAGTGGTATTTGTTAGGTTCCCCCCCCCAACCCCAAGTGAGCATTAAATGGGGATGGAAGAAAGATGCACCAGAAACCCAACTCAGATATCAATCAAAAGCCCACTGACTATATCAGGCTTTTGATTAGGTCCCAACTGAGCTTGCAAAAATAAAAAATTAGAAAAACAAAGCAAAATTAGAAAAATAGCAAATAATAAAAAATGTTGTTTCAGGCAGCTAAGGAGAAGATTCAGAAAGCAAGAGACTCTCAGAACAAAGAAGAGAAAACAAAAGTCTTATAAAAGAAAAAAGGAGGAAGACACTTGACAGAGGGAAAAACACACGAGGAACGTGAAATCAACAGTGTTGTTTCTTCATGGAGTATAGTTCATATTATGTTGGCTTTCTGCATGTGCTGTCTTTTAACACTCACCCACCTCCCCTACTTACTTG